GTTCCTGGTGTTGCTTCAGGCCGTCGTGGGCAAAGTCTAGTTTTACTAGAGTGAAGGTTGCAACAGGCAGCACACGTACAAACAAATATTGCAGATACGGATAATCTTGACTGGAATACGTCTTTGTTATCACTGTTACCATGAGAAAAAAATAACAAGGACTCTTTAACATGTATTTCCTTGACTTATGAGGATCACTATTATACTATAGAAATGTAGGGTTTCTTTTGAAAAGTAGAGAACTCAGTTCAAATACAAGAAATATAAAGTTGCTTCCCCTTTCAGTGTTGATACTGTTTTGCACTGATCTGTAACCTTGTAGGTGTTCCAAACCAGGGTCGGGCAGAGGCCACAAAGGGAGAGGAATGTCCAGCTTGGTGAGCCTGGACATCGGCCAGACACGTCCATGAGCATGCAGCAAGGCCAATGTGATCCAAAACTTCAAACTCCTCGTGCACTGCTTTCAATATTCAGATCCAATGGGTCCGTGAGTTTCCAAGAAGTCCTCCTAATTATAGGATTCTTTAGTTAGTGTGAAGCAGGTCAGCTGAACATGACAAAAATGTTAATTGGTTAACATGCAAGCATAAAAATTAACATATACAGAGATTTAAGTTTCTAACACCAAATGCATAGTGATTATTAAGCTGTTCTTATAGAGAAATTAGTATAATTATACTTATACTTCCTAGGAAATTTGTGGCTCTGTTAAATAAGACATTATCAAATCTGTTTTCTTTCAAATGAATGACCCCAAAGACAACAGTGTTGTATTTGTCCTACTTCATACTGCGGATTGCTCTCAAAACAGAGTACTTATTTTAACAAACTGGGGAGTGAGAGCGTGTGCAGAGACATATATTTGTCCCTCATTCTTTCAACCATCCGGTCAGGGTGGGGATTGTTTTGGAGCCCCCAGAGTTTCATTCCTGTCTGATTTCATGCTCCAGAAAGCCAAAGAGGAAACTTCTACAGTCATAAAAAGACTCACAGTAAACAATCAAAGCTTGTGAATATAGTTTCCTGTGAATGTAGTACCCAACAAACATGGCAAGTGGTTACTCAATAATACTGTAATTTATTAAGAAGGATCAACTGTGCAATAGCAAACAGGATTAAAGATTAAAACAAGAAAATACAATGAGAAAAGGTAGATTAGTTGCCATTTTTTTACTTACTTTTAAAACTTTGTTATAAAGCAATGAACCACATAACCACGAAAAGCCCGGTCAAAAACAAAACGCCAATATTTATATCTGCTTATATTTTGTCCGAGGTTTTCAAATCATGTTACTCTTTGAGCTGTGAAACTGCCCACTGCACAATAAATCAGTTATCTAGAAACACACACAACAAAAACTGCAGTATTTATCTTACTCGACCTAAATCAAACTCCGGAGGGATTTGTTTAGAAAGTCATTACATTTGTTTTTGAGATTACTTCAACGGATACAGGAAGTCTTGATTATGGTTCCTTGGGGATTCTTTTTTTTTTCTGCTGCATAAAGAGAACAGACGTGTCTCTTGTGACCTTTTTCACCACAACTGTCGGAATTGTGTCATGCATTGCAATAACCGCTTATCCTTGGTGGTCAACAGAGGGAGGAGTCATCTAGTGATGCAGTGTGACTCAAAGTAGCCTTTGTTAACCGTTACTACTTAGAGGAGACAATGTGAATTTGCTAAAGTTACTGAGTTTACTTCCTTCTCATTTGTGATCCATCTTATTGGTGATTTGGTAAACCCACTGATAATCATAATTAGCGTATTCAGTTGATCTGTATATAATACTGAGAGTCTCTAATTATAAATGACGTTTGCATTGTATATTGTATGGTGAGTTATCGATGCAAATTCACATTAAACGGTGCATCTCACCATCATGAGCTCATGTGCAATGAATCAGTGAGCAACACTAAGTCTTTTGAAATGTAGATAGATTTTTGTACTGTAAATAAATACAATGTGACAGACTGGGCCTCCACAGATTTGAATGCAATATACAATACAATGAATGCTTCACACCCTTCACAGTAATTAATTATGTTTGTCCCAGCACAGGCCTGCCACAGCCTTAAGGTGCTTTTCTACGCATATGATTGCACGCAATTCATGCAGACTCATGCGCTCTTCACCTTTTAGACGAGACAAAACAGTGACACAGTCACATGGTCACATTCCTGGAGGCCCCAAGGACATGCAGTTTTCTGGACCCTGATGGCAGCTGCAAGATAAAGAGCTCTGTGTCAACGACAACCAAAATATGAGAACGACAATTCAAATAACTATTTATACAAACCCTCTAACTGTTGTATTAAAACAGCAGCCACAGACATTTTGACAACGAGACGATACCAAGTCTCAGCTTGTGCATCACTTTGTCTTTATTGGGGACTTTCTGCCTCTCTGACCAGCATGTAGCTTTCCAAATCTTTGAACTCTAGAGAGCAGAGGACCTTGACTGCAATAAAGCAAAACCTCTATCTGTTCTGAAATGATCATGTCTCATTTCAAACTAAATGAATGTTGAAGGATGACGCTGCGATCCTAATAAGGGATGTATTGTTTTCAAAACCCAGCTGCAACAAGGGGCGCTCCCTGAAATCACAGAGGAATGTTTAATAGTGTTTGAAATGTAATGCTGTTTCAGCCATAGAGACCATATAGAGAGACGCGATGACAATGTTACAGACAGAGATTTCATGAGAACAAAACATTGTGTTGTGTGCATATGTGTTGTGTGTGAGTGAGTGTTATAAGAACACATCTGCAGACTGTTTGCAGCTCCAGGTGTTTTGCTATAGGCTCCATTATATCGATAGAGGAATAAGAGGAACAACAGGGTTCCAGGTTTGTGCAGCACAAACTATTTGTAAATCCAAGTTTGTGTGTAGCTATAGCTATCAAACTGGTGATTGACAAAAGCTGACTAAAACTAAAGACCTGTAGATAGAGAGCTGCAGGAATGAGTCCTAAAAACCTAGAAATGGTTGGGGTTCCCTCGTCAATGTTTTTTTTTTAATGGATTTTTGGTTAGATGTCTGAAGCTGAAGATATTAAATCTTGTGCAACTCTTTGTGCAATTTGGCTGTGAAGACCTGATGATCAGCTTCTGTGCCATCTGTGTGTGTGGACATAAAACGGTTCATGTCCACACACGAAAGACAAATGAATTAAAAGCTGAAAAAATGGGTGGAGAAACTGATGAATGCAAGTGCTTCCATTACAGGTGATGAGGGGGTCACTGAATGGTTTCATGTAGATGAAAATGAAATATTGGCTTATACCATTCACAATCATGTCAACTCAACCCAACAATTTTAGAACAGCGTGTTAGACAGCTCAATATTCTTATCTTGAAGAGTAAAGATCATCCCATTAGAAGAGTTTAGAGACTCTGACAAAAAAAGCATTGAAGCTGATCTGGTAGGTCATAGTGACGCTACAAAGACATGTTGTTTTTGTCATTCAATTCTATATCAAAATGAAACTCTAAATACAACTGTAATATGTATGTATATCTTCATTTTCTATATTCTGAAATATGTACATTTTACATTCTATATACTGACATGTACATCTTGTATTTTCACAACATGAGACAATCATGCTTGTGCTTATGCAGTGATGTAGTGAATCCCCCTCAACGTGTTTGTGTGCATGTGATGACCTTGTTTGTGTATCAAGTATAATGAGGAGTCATCTCAAAAGTGGAAGTGTCTTTATTTAGAAAAAGCAGTGGCAACATCAGTTTTGTGGAACAGCTGCAAATATTTCTCACTTCCATTTTCAGAGCAATCCGTCCTCTTGTGACACCACGGTGGCTTTTACAACACCTGACCACTGGGGAAACAGTCAAATGAATAAACTGTCAATGCAGGATTGTGATTAGAGTAATGTTGGCTCACATTTATCCAAACAAAAGAACTGCCGTGGGTTGGATGGGTGCCGGAGAATCACAAAATTTACAAATTGAGTTGTCAGCACTCACAAATAAGTGTCCACTTTTTATGATGTTCAGCAGCAGAAGTAACCTGAAAGCGTTTCAGCCTTCCTCAGTGCTCACACTCAACCCGTCAGGTTTCAGTTAGAGTACAGTTGATTAAGAGAGGAGCGATAAAAGACTGATCCAAATCATTTCAAAAGACCATAAGAACATGAGCCATCCATGACGGGCTCTGGGGCTTATGTGGATCTTGAGGATATATGCAGTTATGGTTTTGAACCATTGTGACTTGTTGAATTTTGTGAATCTGGGTCACCTCGAGTTTCACAGCAACATTTATGTCATCCCCGTCTGAATTTACAGGGACATCGGGATAGGTCCCCCTCAGACACACACACACACACACACACACACACACACACACACACACACACACCATGCAGGACTCACCTAACACCTGGAGGACATTATATAACATCTGAAATCCTCCTCCTGCGCCGGGATATTCAAGCTTTTTGAAAAAGTTTCAAATTGCATGACCTCGTATGATCTTTTACAAATTGTTATGTCTCAGGATTTGGAAAAAATGTGTCCATGTAGTTATCTTCTGTAGCCTTGACTTCTGTAACAGTGTCTTTACATGTCTCCTGAAAAAAACATCGACCAGAGAGCTGCAGCTCATTCAGAACTCTGCAGCTCGAGTCCTCACTAAGACCAAAGAAAGTGGATCACAAATCTTCAGTTCTGAAGTTTTTACACTGGCTTCCCGTCTGTCAAAGATTTGATTTTCACTATATTACAAGCACTGAATGGTTTAGAGCCAGAATACATTTCTGATCTGCTGCCATCATCAATCATCCAGAGTCCATTCAGTTTATCTGGGACAGTTCTGCTTTCTTTCCCCGGAATAAAAACACGGAGGAGCAGCGTTCAGTGTTTATGCACCACATATCTGGAAGAAACTCACAGGTGCGCTGTGACTTTAAAAATCAAGGCTGAAAACTTGTTTACCGCTGCCTTTTAATAAATAAATTAACTATGAATTTCTTCCACTGTAATGTAACGTTCATTCTGGTCTTACTCTATTATAGCTTGTTTTAATCTGTTGGTTCTTTCGAGTTTGTTTTAAATTGTATTTGAATGTCCTTTTGTGCTGGGTTACTTTTACAAATTGTCGCCATGTTTCTTATGTTTCAGGTTAAGCACTTTCAATACCCTTGTTGCTTTGAAGTGCTATAGAAATAAACTTGTCAAAATGATTTGCTGAGCCAGACCAATTGTTGTGACCCAGTTTCTCTGAGCGGCAGAAGCAGGTGACCAAATGTTACTTCAGGTGTCAGTTCACCCACTTTATCCAATGAACACAATCTGCTCATCATTAACCCATTTGAGATTGTGTAGTTATTATAGTCGTCAGCAGTACGACAATCTGAACACACATTATATTTACCCGTCCTGTAGGACAACTGTTGCACACACAAAGAATCAGAAGTGCTGAATAAAATATAGTCCAAAGTTTTATATGTATGGAAGTGCATCTTCTTCTCCATTCAAGTATAAATCAAAAGAAAAAAAAATGCCACACAAACACACACTTTCTTTCCATCTTGCATTTTATTCGGAGCATATAGAACATCTGACCATAGAATATATTAAGCAATATGTGTAAGAGGACTTATCAAAGATAATACACTCTATGACAGTGATAGGAGGAATGGGTGTTGAGTATGAGTAGTATGTGCCATCTCCAGCCGGTGGTAGAGAGTAGTGTTATGCGCAGGCTGAGATTAGGTGGCTGAGGCCGGTGAAGTAAGACTTTTCACGATCGCTCATCACCTCAAAGTGCAGCGGCTGCTGGCAGAAGGTGCACTCTGCTGATGAGTGGGGCTTCAGGTCCAGGCCCACCTCCTTCCATGTGTGCACCAGCTTCTCTGTGGAGGGAAAACAAGTCAGTGGTTAGTACTGAGAGAAAGCTAATGTCAGTTCCTACATGCATACTGATCAAATGAGCATTTTGAGTGAAACCAATTATACATTTAAGACAATCTGGTAACGCAAACCTCCAACGCAAATGAGGCCAAGTATCATGTCCAACGGGGTGAATTTGCATTTGAACTGTAATACATTAACAAGATTACTGTATGCTCTTACCAACAAAGTATTTCATCATCTCGGGGGTGTGGTGAGGCGTTGGGGCGATACGCAGGAGCTCTTGTCCCCTGGCAACGGTGGGATAGTTGATGGCCTGGACGTAGATGTTGTGGCGACTCATCATGATGTCACACACCTCCGTGTTTTTCTCAGCGTCGGATACCTAAAAAAATAACAAAAGAGACGCACATGATGATTAGAATGGAGCTATATCTGAGACACACTGAGGACTACTTAGTGTGTTTTTTTATTTTTACGTGTCAAGCGTTTTAATACTAAATTACCCGGACTGGGATGATGTGGCTGGGGCAGTGCACCACCGGCAGCCCGGAGTCCATCAGCATTTGTCTGAGCAGCTTGACGTTGCGCTGGTGTTTGCGTCTCAGAGTGCGGCCCTCCTCCCCTTTAAGGACCTGGATGGAGTTCCTGGCTCCGTGCAGCAGCATTGGCGGCAGAGAGGTGGTGAAGATGAAACCCGCCGCGTAGGAACGCACCGTGTCCACCAGTGCAGTGGTGCTCGCGATGTAGCCGCCCACACAGCCAAAAGCCTTGCCTGGAAGAGGACATGGCACACGGGGGGTTATTCGTTAATCTAGGTCGTTGCCACAGCTTTGGAGACATCATTTAGCATTCTTGAATAAAAAGTCACAACATTATGCTCAGTGGTCTATGCGACCTCCTCCCACTGTAATCTCACAAAGTAGATCACTCTGAAAGGGCAGCTGCAGCCGTACAGGGGCTGAAAAGCTCAGAGTTAGAAATAATTGTCCTCTCAGCTTGACAGCGACACACAGACGCAGGGAGTAATTCAATGAGAGCCCACAGTCTCCTAGCAACAACAGAGCTGCTCCGGCTCCTTTAAGCCCTCTGGCATATTGTGTGACACAGATGAGGCCCGAACATCAGAAGAACGACAAAACAGAGATTCAAAACAACAACAAAAAAGATAGTGACACCACTCGCCATTCATTTAGTGGCTCAGGAACATGTTGGCATGGCATCAAAAATCAATATGCTCAGTTAGAACATCAGTATTTTGTTCTACGAGAGATTACATGCTGACCTAATGTCCCCGAGACGATATCGATCTTGTGCATGACCCCGTCCCTGTCTCCGATGCCCCCTCCTCTGGCGCCGTACAGGCCCACAGCGTGAACCTCGTCTACGAAGGTGATGGCACCAAACTCGTGGGCCAAGTCGCACATCTCCTCCAGCGGACACACGGCACCTGTGTTACAGAAAGACAAGTTTAGCCATTAGCCAAACCACGGCCACAAAGTACCTCAACTACAGTCATGTTGTTAGACAACTTTTAAATGTTCTTGTGCGAGTAAATGTGTAGCTGTAATGAACATTCCTGCCAGCTTAGTGATCCCTAACATTTATATGACAATTAATGAGCAACCACATGATAAGCAAGTTAAAAAAAAAAAAGAATGAATCCCAAACTAACCATCCATGGAATGGACGGTCTCAAAGGCCACGATCTTGGGCTTTGTGGGGTCTCCCTCCTGAAGGACCTCTCGGAGATGGGCGACGTCGTTGTGGCGGAAAACAAACTTCTTAGCGCCACTGTTCCGGATACCCATGATCATTGAGGCGTGGTTGCCCGCATCAGAGTAGATCTCACAACCTGAAATAGTTCAGGAGAAAGTGAGACTGAGAGTTTGCATCGCACATTTATTAATGACATAACGTACATAAACGGTGGATTTATCGAAAGCATATATATTTTTTAAATTGTGTACCAGGTAGCAACTTGGCGAGGGTGAAGAGGGTGGAGTCATTTGCGACAAAGCAGGAGGTGAAGAGCAGTGCAGCGTTCTTCTTGTGAAGGTCAGCCAGTTCTTGTTCAAGTTCCACGTGGAACTTACTGGTCCCAGAGATGTTCCTGGTGCCTCCCGCCCCGGACCCATGCTTTTGCAAAGTTTCCCTAGAAACAGAGAAAGACAGACAAAAACAACATTTGAACCTGTCCAGGTTTTTTAAACTTTGCAGCACAAAGGTTACACATATATAAGCCAGGTGGACGCTTAAGGAAGGGTAAGACTACAAAAAATGGAAAGCTGTAAATCCTTAAGCAGAAGAGTGGCTTAGTAGTAAGTCACACCTTGTTTCAAGGTGTTACTGCTACACAGGGGATAAGTGAGCTGGGCAAACTCAAACAAGCTGAAAAGGAAAACACCCCATCGCTTTGGGGCCATGAGGTTCACGCGTAAACTATAGCCAACTAACACCTACACAAACAATGGACTAATAATTGAAATCAACACCTGACACATGGGCGTTGTCCCCATGTGTCAGGTGTTGATTTCATTTATTATGGGCCGTGTCTCACCTTTTGTACCTTTTTCTTTCTCTCTCCAACTTAAGCGTCCACATGAGACGCGAACAGCCAAGAAAAATATTTATCCCATTACGTGTAAAACACATCTAGACCCAATGGACTGAGTGTTTTGTTTTTCCTACACTACACACAAACAAACAACTCCTCCAGTACTCACATAATGGACTGCACGACCCGTGGGTGGCGACTCATGCCCAGGTAGTCGTTGCTGCACCAAACGGACACATCCCTCTTTTCATCCAAAGAGCTAGTGAAGTCGTCGGCCATCGGGAACTCGTTGGCCAGACGATTCACAGTCTTGAACACACGATATGTGTGGTCACTCTTCTTCTCTTCGATCTTCCTCTCGAAAAACTCATCGTATTGGTAGCGGGACACTGCAACAGAACAGGAAGGCAACACTTGCTCAATGTGGCTTGCATTGTGATGGATGAAGCAATGCCCAACATGATGAAAGTCTACGCTCACCTTACTCAAAAACACACAGACTTCAACATGCAAATCAGTAGGTAAACTACAATATGAGAGTTGCTAGCATGATAATAATGTGGGAGGACAATGTGGAGCTAAACAACTCTGCAGTTCTGTAACAGTACGTTTCCTTATAAATAGGTTGTCAGAGCACCCAAATAAAACTTACAACTGCCTGGCATGTTGTCCTGCAGCAAGTGGGAGACACTTTTAGGTCTCTGTTTCAGGAGGTCCTTCATTAGATTAGCTTTCTCCTCTCCGCTTCCCTTAATGGTGCTGGCCAGGGACGGCTTCAGCTGGGCAGGGGACACTTCTGCCAAGAAATGGTATCAACTTGTGAACAAAAAGATGGGGCCCAATCAGGCTCACCTAATCGATTTCTTAACGCTTCTTACCTTTCTTGACTGTGCGGACTTCCTGAACATCCTCTTGGAACTCCATGCTGACCTGGCGGACCACACTGCTGTTCTTTTGGCCCATCTCAGCAGCCAGGAAAGGGCATTTGGAGGTCGCCGCCTGGCCTGAGGATATCATAGGATGGCCACCCGGCAGCTTGGGCTGCCCTTCCTGTTTAGGCCCTACAGGTGGACAAAAGAGGTTTTAAAACTTTAGATATACATCATTACTAAGCACCTTTAAACAACAACACACACCGCAATGATTCAGTCAATCATCGCATCAACTGGTTCACTTGATATAATGTAATTACTGCATTAATTAGACAAAAAAAAAAAAAAAAGAAAAAAAAAAAAATCTGCATTTACTCCTCCTTTGGCACACTCACCTTCACTAGTAGACATGATGTCCTCAATCTTCTGGTGGGAAGAGGAGGAGGAGGAGAAGAGGGCCCGAGCCATTGATGGAGCCATAGGTTTAGCGGCCAGCTCCATCATGATGGGGCAACGCTGGGCGTACACCACCATAGACTTTTTGGGCTGCTGGAAGAAGGCCTGAGGCACACGAGCCAGGAATGGACAGCGACGCACGATCACATCCATGTCAGCAGTGGTGATGATTGTCCAGAGGTCTAAAGGAGACAGTAGAAACTGAATTGAAACATATGCTGTGGACAGTTCAGATACACCTATGTGCTACAAAAACCTGTTTAGCAAGGTGTTAGCTGAACGGCAGTACACACAAGTACACATACAAAAAACAAAGGATTTGTTCCCCCTCTTATTTACCTGAAATGCAAATCAATCAATTCACACAGTTTCGGTGTAATTTAGAGAAATGTACTCAATAATAAGCACACATTTAAGTTAACGGTTCCTTCTCTCTGTCCAGGAAAGACAGATGTTGGTAGTAAATAGTTCCCTAAGAAAGTATCCACAATGAGGTCTGTGGGTTAGTAGAACTGTCATTTCATTGCTGAGGAGAGATGTTGCCATTTTTTTTGGAGCGCAGAGCAAATGTCATTGGGCTCAAATGTTTTCACACCAAAACCATTCGAAATGGAAAGATGTTGGTTAAGGAGGGCGGGAATAATCAACTTTCAGTGTCACTGCAACAGGTGTCCGATCATGGCATTAAAGAGGTTTTTTTTTTTTTAAGTCCTATTGCGTAAAATGGGAAAATATACGCGTCATGAGCGTTCCCGTAGTTGAAGTGAGGTCCACACATTCCTCGACAGAGTAATCACTCCCAGACTTTCTCCGCCCACTTGAAGTTCGAGGGAAAATGATACGAGCCGGTAAAAACGCGTATAATTAAGTGCAACTAATTTAACTTTAGAAAAGCAATAAACTACCAAAATAGCTCGTGTTGTTGATGCTTTTTGATCACATTCCGTGTTTTTACACGTCTGCACTGGTGTCACAGTAACCTCTGTAACATGATTCCCGGTGTTCTTACTTGCACCGTATGCATTCACCGGTAAGATAACAACATTGGCATTGACCCGAGCCTCTGGTCAAACTACTACTATTATTATTATTATGAGCGGGACAATTTTATAAACATTGAATCGTTTCCAAGTGTCCACAAGCCCTTTAAAGTGGTGTTACGTGTTGACTCCCAAGACGTTATAACACATGAAGAGAGCTAGAGTCACGACTTGTCTGTCTATAACGTTACTATTACAATTATCAATTTCGGTAACAGCGTTCTTATAACCCGTAGCTAATGTTAGATAGACCAAGTCTTAACATTAGCCCGGCCGCTCGAGATCCCTGCCGGTCGACCGTGCTTTACGTTAGCTATAGTGCTAACATTAGCCAAGAGGCTACATCCAGAAGTCAAGATGGTGATAGGCAAATAAGAAACTTACCTCCTGAAAACTTTCCAATTAATGGCGTAGTCCTGTTCAACGGTCGCGTAGTGGTCAGGATAACAGCAGCGGAGCCGATCTAAAGTTAGACTCTGACTAAAATCCTGGTTGTAGGAGACGGTAGAGAGAAGACAGCTTCGTTATCCTACACTGAGGACGAACGAAAAGGACGTGGTTGTGCAAGTGCTTATATGAGCTTACGCTAGGGCGGAAGTCTCGCGAGATCTAATTCGTTTACGTCAAATGTCATTCCAGTAACTCAGTTTTGTGACTCGTGCATGTGATCAAACTGTCACCTCGCCAGGGTACTTCACATCTGTGGATGTTTGAAGTTATAAATACACTTGATCTGATAAAAATATATACTTGATATGCTTTTTACTACACACATTGTATCATTATTATTGTCGACATCACTGCCATTTTCTAAGGACTGCAGATTCACAAAGACATTGATGCATGTCTGTCCACTTTTCGTCAACAGTGCCGTCTCAAACTGCTCCTTCAAGTGTTGTGTGCCTAACTTTATTTTTTTGATATATTATTTTATTTTTTTATTATACCATATTCATCCCGGTGAGGGGGAAATTTGTCTCCTCATTTGACCCATCCCTGTATATAGGGAGCAGTGGGCTGCCCATGACAGGCGCCCGGGGAAAACTAGTTCAATACACGTTCACTTCATCAATTATATTCTTTTAAACAGAGAAAACAGGAGCAACATGAAAAACTTTGATACACGGAAGTGTTTTTGAATGAACATACATGACATGAATTATATATTTCAGCTCAAGATTTACATGGATTAGTTGATGTGGTGGTATTGAGCGATTTTCTGTGCACAAGTGACCTCTGGTGTTCAAAAAGAGAACCTGGGTTACAGGCTATCTAGTTTAAAGTCTACAGTGAACAGGTGAAGTTGTGTTGTTGAGACATGTTTGCTTGTGTGAGTTTGGCAGACAATAGAGGAATTAAACGTGAAGTTCGCACCTACATTGCGTCTAAAACATTTGACCAACAAACGGAAGTTAAACTCAACATGCATAAACAGTTTGCACCCAGTTGCAAGTTTATTAGGTACAATTATATCAGTTAACAACCATGCAATAATTCCTACCTTTATGATCAGTTTTTGTTATAATTGTTATTGATTTTTATTTTCATACTTGTGGTCTACCCTTTTGATATAATTGGTGGGGGCAATATAAAACAAATATGAATAGAGACAATACCAATTGACCAATTTAAATCTCACACCCTTAAAGAGTGTTTCCAAACTGTGTTTTTTTAATTCAAGAAGCAAATAACTTTGGCTGCAAACTTCATCTCTGAAATGTATTTCTGTGGTATAATCTGGGTTTTAATGATTGCTCCTCAGCAAAGGCAGTCACGGTGTTTTGCTGCCCCCTGCTGATCGATTTAGGCGTTGGCACTGGCTGTTATAAAGTTTTACCCGCTGGACTTTTGGCATACTGTCTTTGATTTAAAACTAGCTGACTTGGACTGAACGCTGTTTTTAAATATGACATCCAGAATGGAGGTTGTAGGCTTGATAACAGGTTGCAAATTATCTTTTTCTCTGAAAAGTGATACAGATACAGATCAAGTCAACATACCATAGGCCTATATATAATATATATATATTGCTGTTTAGACTTACCTTTAAACTCAAGTAACATTTTGAAATGTTATTATCTTAATACTCCTTCCCTCACTGTACCCAAATGACCACAAAGCATGAGAATCTGGGGGTGCTTTTCAACCAGACTCAACCACAAATACAGCAGACTGCTCATTCTTGCCTTCAGCAGCCAGGTGCACATCCAGTCTATCTATTGCACAGACTTCAGAGGATACAGCTCACCAACCACAAAAGGCATAATGTGGTGGGCGAGTCTTGTATGGAGTCCACATGAGACAGTGAAAAAACTAAGATGTATTACTCTCATTATTTCCTGAATGTCATTGAGCAGTTTGACATGTGCTCTTTCCTGAATTGCCATTTTGTTTTCACTTTGTCATGTTAAATTAAGAAATCAATCCACAGAAAATGTATTTTTGATAACCAATTAGTTCATTTCCAAACATAATTGGTTGAATACAGTATGTTTGAGTTTTGGATTGGTGGTCAGATAAAACCAGCGGTTTAAAGATTATAGGCTAAAAGATTAGTTGATCAACAGAAAAAAATAGAGACTAAAGATTAATCTATAATAACATTGCAAGGAATGTGGGAATATACATTTATTTTGACAAACTACAATATTAACATGATCTTATATCAAAAACGGAATAACGAGATATTCTATAATAATATTACTCTTTGAAAGGAGGCATTAGCATGATAAGAAGGGGGTACGCGCAATAATTTGCTGTAAATTACAAAATTGTGCTGTATCATTAAAAAGTGCATATCTACTTCCACCTACATGAGCTGAAACTCTATGATTGTGTCACACAGCAATAAGTTCATTATTTTTAAGTTGAAATGCTAACTGAAAGTCATCTTTAGACTGGTACGTTTAAATATCTGGATTTATTAGGACTATGCCTCGCTACTGCTTAAGATCAATTACTGAAATGTAGGCTATACATGCTGTTTAATCCTAATGCAATTTTAATAAAAATCACCATCTGTTTGAAGGTATACGGTATTAATAACATGAAATAACATTGGAATTTACAACGCAAAACAACCCACATACCCTGTCCTACTATGCCAAGTCCCTAATCCTCCAGCTCATATCCATTCAATATGCTGTCTTTAGAATCAGAACTGTTTATTTACCAGAGTATGTTGCACATACAAGGAATTTGACATGGTGGATAGTGCATAACATTAAACAATCAACACAGTGCAAAAAAATAGAAACATGTTACAATTTACAATAAAATATAAAATATAGTGCACAGACAGACAGATAACAGTATAGTACAATGTAAATGTAATGTAAAAGTGTCAAGCATCTTTAAATAAAGAAACATAGAAGGGATGTGCAGGGGAGTGACCGGTAGGAAATTGTCCTGGGGATGTCAGAGTCAGTGGGGGTCCCGGGCTTTGTTGATGAGCCCCACTGCAAGAGGGAAAAAACTGTTCATGTGGCGTGAGGTCTTGGTCCTGATGGACCGCAGCCTCCTGCCAGATGGAAGGGGCTCGAACAGTTCATGTCCAGGGTGAGAGGGGTCGGCTACAATCCTTCTTGCTCACTTCAGGGTCCTTGAAGCAAACAAGTCCTGGAGGGATGGCAGATTGCAGCCAATCACCCTCTCGGCAGAGCGAATGATGTGCTGCAGCCTGCCCTTGTCCTTGGCTGTAGCTGCAGCGTGCCAGACCAGTTGATGTTCAGCTCCCACTTGAGTTATGGTGGAGCCCAGGAAGCGGAAGGACTCCACAGCGTCGATGGGGGAGTCACACAGGGTGATGGGGCAGGTGCGTTCTTGCGGAAATCCACAACCATCTCCACTGTCTTTAGAGCGTTGAGCTCTAAGTTGTTCAAACCGCACCAGGTCACCAGATGGTCAACCTCCCAGCTGTAGGCGGACTCATCCCCACCAGAGATGAGTCCAATGAGGGTGGTGTCATCCGCAAACTTCAGGAGCTTGATAGACTGGTGACTGGAGGTGCAGCTGTTGGTGTACAGGGAGAAGAGCAGAGGGGAAAGAACGCAGCCTTGAGGGGAACCGGTGCTGATGGTCCGGAAGGCTGAGACGTGGTTTCCCAGCTTCCTGTCAGACAGGAAGTCTGTGATGCACTTGCAGGTGGAGTCGGGCACGTGCAGCTGAGAGAGCTTGTCATGCAGCAGAGATGGGATGATGGTGTTGAAAGCAGAGCTGAAGTCCACAAACAGGATCCTGGCGTAGGTTCCTGAGGAGTCCAGATGCTGGAGGATGAAATGAAGGGCCATGTTGACTCGCCTACAGACCTGTTGGCTCTGTAGGCGACAGGTTGATGGAGCCATGGGGGATGGGGTCAGGGCTGTCCCATTGTCTTTCAAAATGACAGTAGAAGTCGTTCAGCCTGTTTGCCAGGCGTATCATTCATGGACTGGGGGGCTTTAGGCTCGTAGTTGTTTGTTATCTGTCTGAGACCTCTCCAGACAGAAGCAGAGTCACTTGCTGAGAGCTGATGTTGCAGTTTCTCAGAGTACTGTCGTTTAGCGTCTCTCACCGCCTTACTCAACCTGTATTTTGCCTCTTTATACATGTCCTTGTCCCACTCCTAAATGCCTGATCCTTGTTTACAAACTCATCTAAACCTGTCAACGTGTCTGTTTTCCTTTCCTCACAACAGATGCTCCACAAACTCGGCTAACTCCCTTGACTGCAATACAATTACATTTCCCATTAGTCCTAACTGTTTTTTGGAACAAACAAATTCCTCTCAGGTGATATTGACTCTCTCTATATAAATTACATTCCACCACTGTGGGCCTTCTTCACTCAGATTAAGCTGCTTTGCGGGCAAAATGTTTATTATAGAGTTTTCAACCTTCATACAAATCTTCTAACGTGCAGTCAATGACACAAAGACAGGAGGGATAAAAACATTGCCCAGGAACAGGGGCGGAGCCTCGACTGAGTGACGCAACCGTGTGCACAGACGATCTCTGCGGCGGCCGCTGGGTTCAGTCGGTGGGAGAGAGGAGCCGCGCGGAGTCCTGTCTCAATCCGGAGTCTTGAAGCAGCCATGGCGTCAGGCCTGTTCGGTGTTGTGTTGGCTTTAACGGTGGTGCTGGCCCCGTGTGTGTCCGGTGAGTTTTCATTGTTTCAACTTTAAATGGTCGTTATTTGTCTTCTTTGTCTCTCGCGTTGTTTTCATTTTGTACACGTTATTGCAACGGTAGCTTGAAACCGGGGCTCAACCGACCAAAGATCCGGAGCGATGTCAGCCACCGAGAGCTGGGCTGTTTGTTAAAGTTACCGTCTGTTTAGCCAAACTACCCTCATTCATATACATAAAGGTGGACCACCTGTCTAACGTATACAGGTTCAACAAAGAAATGAACATTGTGACTTTCATGAACGTATAGGATTCGTTACAGAACTGTTGTATTGCATTACCAATATGCAATGGATTGTAAAGCTGTATTATCCTCATTACCAAATGATTATGTCTATAAAATGGTGTAAAACTGCCATTATAATTTTCACGAGGCAGAAGACAACGTATTGCCATTTACTCTTTTGTTTTGTTTGAGCAACAGTCCAAAACCAAAAGACATTCAGTTCATAACATAATAGAGATAAACAGAAAATGCTCACGTTGGAGAAGATAGAAGTAGAGAATATTTGACAATTTTGCTTGAAAAATTACCAAAACAATTAGTCAATTGGAAAAAAAAGCGTAAGCTAAAAGGATCTTTCCATTAATGAATTGATTAATGGAGTCATTGTCTCAGTTGTTTTGAGACTGTTCTGGTCCCAGACCATCAAAACCAATATATGCACTCTGGTTTGAGACATGCGTTTCATTACGTTACCATGATTTACCCTTCTCGTTCAGTTCATCTCCACTACAGATTTGTTTTCAGTTGTATTGAGGCTAACCTTTCCTGCCCCTCTCTGCTTTCTGTCTCTCTTCTGTATTAGCAGGGGGCAGAGACTGTCAGGCCTACCATAGCCAATCATTCCAAAGTTGCTCTGGGCAAGGATTTTGCTGTGGTTCCTGCATGGACAGAAGATGCTGTACGGACATTTTCAAGCGGTTTTCTGAGGATAAACAAGAAGACTGGTATTGTGTTTTATTCTGTAATAGATGATAAATGGCCTCTGACTTAAGTTTCCTTTTTTCTTCCTGTGCAACTTCAGCGGAGATGTGTCATTGCAGCCTGATATGCAATGATATCAAGCAACAGGAAGTAGAGTCTTCCTGTGCACGACCACCGGCACCAAAGTAAAGTAACAGCAACACACAGACTGTTTTGCTTGATGTTTTCTTTGTTTCTCTTTCAGTTTGAATCACTTGAGCTATCATTCCTCACCATTGCCGATGACCCTTGGTATTGGAAGCGTCGTCGTCGTTTTCCTCATCTTCATCTGCTGCTGTATCTGTCCCTGCTGCTGCTTGTACAAGATGTGCCGCAAGCCAAGACGTAAGTAGCCCTTTACCTGGCCCACCCCACTAGCAATTCAATTGTTCAGGGATTCACCGATCTGACATTTTCAGTCCTGATACCGCGGCTTTGGTTGTCTGCCGATCGCGAGTACCGATCTGATACCAGTGTCTGAACGATAAGCTGTAGGCCTCACTGTCTGGGAGAGACTGGGATCGTTCTTTCAGTGTAAGGCAACATCAGACTGGACTTGGCCAAAGATTTTGACTGCCTGGTAACCACCAGGTTACAAAAACAATCTTAAAGAGGAAGCTTTCTTTAATGTTTAGTTCAAGATTCAATAATGTACTACCGTGTCAATGAAACATTGATTGGGATTAGTCTCGGTCTGCGCTACACATCAATACTACAAGACAAATACACGTCGGCATAGGTGGCACGAGGTACTCTGGTAGCAGCATTGTGCGATATTACCAAATACGAGCAGACGATATAAGTTTTGTATTGTTTACTTGAAGTTCACATCCTGAAACTACCCCGTCAGGGGAACACAGGTTAACACAAATGGGTGTGAACAAGTGTTTAAGATAATCAGAAACTTAAATAGGTGCAAAAGGAAAGTGAACATGATTGCATCAGTGCTCTGAAGTACCTTGATCTCTTAGGCGTTTAACTCCCTCCATAAGCCAAAAAACAGATGTTCCCATCTGGTTATTTTAACCATAAACAGTTTCTCTTTTGATTTAACAGACAATGTAGCATAGGACTCTTTAGGACACTAAATACATGTTAAATCATTCTGACAGTATTATGCAAATCAACCTAAACTTAGTTGCACTTCGTCTTTTTAGTTAGTAATTAGTGGTATTTTCATCATTCTAAAGCTGTGAGCTGAACAGTGATCATGTATTAGTATTAGTTACGACATATTTCATTTTAAGGACAGAGTAACAAGTCAGTTAACACTTGAACCAGTTAGTATTGTGTTTGCAGCATGTGGCCATGCATGTGCTGCTGCTGCTGCTTCTGCAACATGTAGCTGCATGTGTAAATTTCCTGCACACAGCCAACAAGGAGCACATTGTTGAGCTTCTCATTCTAGGTAAAATGCAGTGTCAGATTGTTTGGGGTTTGTTTTAATGAAGAAGCCAGACTCTTAGTTTCCAGTGTGTTGGAGTATTCACCAGAGTACTTTTGAAAACAGATCAGGGGACTCTTCTGAGGTCTGTTTGCCCACCCACCACTTGACTTTCATTACTGGAGTGACTACTAATAACACAGACATTGAGACACAGAACATTCCCAAAATCACATGACACTGCCAACAGTTACAAAGAGGTACTTATGTTTGTGTTTGTCATCATTCGGCATGCTGTGCAGGGATCTTCTGTTGTGACCCGCGTTGATGACCCAGTGTAGTTGCTGTTCGGAGTTCGTGCCAGACTTGAACACTACTGTCGTTCCACTAAGGAAAGGTCACGCCCTAATTTAATTTACACTTTTTAAAAATCTTAATTTACACTGTTTTACAAGTTAGGGCCTGTTCATTTTCAGTGCTCCAAATTGGGGCATACTATATTTGATGAGTACCGGCTGTTTAAAAACAGCTTTATAGGAATCAATGGTTTAGTAAAATGTTTATTAATAAGTCTAATGACATTCTATAAGTTTGTTATTGTCAACAAATCCTATGAAAAGAGTAAGTCCAAAACCAACAATGAAGTCTGTTTAGCCAGAGCCTGATGTATCTTACTCCTGTGTGATAAACACGCATGCATGCACCACAGCATTGCAAGAACATGGACACTACAGTTTATTTTGAGTCAGGCACAATTATAATTGGGAACAGAAAAACAGAATATAGCCAGCCTCATTCCTTAGATCGTAATATAATTTACCTTACTTTCCTTTTTTTTGTTATCTCTACTGTTACCACAATAACTCTTTAAGTACTTTGTATTCCTTCATCTACCTAACTTACATTACAGTAATCAGCATCACAGACACCTTGCTTTAACTGCTGCAGTTGTCATGTTCCCACAAGTCCACAAGATTTTTGAGACACGACGTCACAATCAAACTCAACCGGTCTTCATGTGCAAAAGCGCCCCATCATTAACTCCTCAAAAGTAAGTCAGCTTACAGTACGTTTTATCACCTTGGAAACACTCCAACAGGGGTTGCAACCCAGTCTGCGTCTTGCATAGTTTCATCGACATCTCAAATCCAGATCAAAACAAAATGTAATGAATTCTCTCTTTGCTTCTGTCCATCAAATGTCCTTCATCACTAGGAGTCTGAGTATTCTTGCCGATAGACGGACAGACAAAGACAGTGGGCCTCATCCATGAACATTTTCATATCTGAAACCTTTCCTACAGTTTTCTATGAGGTGTGCACGTACAAATATCCAGAGTCGGACTAACTAATCTTTCTTAACTGGACAAACTCACTCATTTCAGGTTAAGTGGGGCCATCTGTTCACAAAGAGATGCGCATCTGTGAGATTGGATCATTAGGAAAATCTGCGCCCCTTAAATGTCCATATCAACTTTGTTTTAAGTTTCATCGACAAAAATGTTACCAAAGAGTAAAAACTACATTTTGACACTGCAGACTTTCAGGTCCTGCTGTTGTAAATTAGCAGACAAAAAGTTAACAAGTTTAGCAGAATCATTGGGGGTGTAAACAACTACAAAATATAAATAGTGCATCTGTTAAACAGAGCAGGGCTGTGCTGTGACAGAAATAAAGTCGAAATGGTTGAACGTGAAGTTAAATACCTAAAAAATATATTTGAATAATCTAAATTGGCAAGCTGTGATGATGATTGTATGATGAACAGAATATTATTTTTGCAAAACCTTTATTTGGGTTACATATTTTATTTTATTTTTTATATCAAATTTTAACTCTAATTCATTCAGATTATGGTGTTTTTTTCGTTTGTCACGAGTCATACGACACTAATTGATACCTTTTTAAAAGTACAAGAAAATGTGTTCATACTGAGACAACCATATTGGAAGAAAGGAAAGAGAACTCCCAAACAGATAGGAATATACATTGGGCTGAATATTTTTAATATTTTCAGGACAGACCTCTTTACACACTGTTGGCGTGTGAATTTCCACACCTTATTTTTTTACGGGCTTTGTGCCTTCAGAGACGGGCATCGTGCATCCTCTGTTTTCTTCCATTACAACAGGGTGTTTTTTTAATCTCCTGTCTCTTTTGTCCGCCAACTCAATATTTCTGCTGCTAGATTTCTTCTTCTCTTCTCTCCCCAGTGCTTAGACTGGATTTTTACTATATATTCTTGTCTTTAACTCTTGGAGGAAAGTACCTGAGTATGTACTGTGTGTATTTGTGCTGGCACTCGAGCTTGTGCAACATTCAAAGTGCTACACACTCTAGCGCTGCCTGTCAGTTTGGTCTTTTCAGCCAGCGTGTTCATGTTTTGCCATGCAGCGGCGAAGCTCTGGCACGGAGAGAGCGGGAGACTAAAACACAAGTGAGAATGTGGACTCTCAGACTCGGGCTGTTGCATGTCGGGATCACATTCAGGAATGTCAGAACTCCACCCCGTGTGACTCATTGTTTCCACGACAACCACAGTGGGGAAAACTCAAGACCATCCCACGCCATTTACAGGAAGTGGTCATGATGACTCCCCACTCTGTTAGGGGAAAAGGATCATGGTAGGGGAGTGACTCTCTCTCTCACACACACACACACACACACACACACGCACACACACACACACACACACACACACACAGCTATCTTCCCTCAGGACTGCTGCTGTTTTAAACACTGCTGTCTTTCAGTTTCACTTACACACGGATGGGTTTACTTACTACCAGGGTGGCGGTTTGATCCTGTATTTATATACATTTATATCAATCTAGCAAGTAACAAATCATGATGAAGTTGGTTTTCAAAAACTGTGTACGTCTCTGTATTGCTAATGCACTAACCAAATCCTGTTTAGTGTTTTTGATATAGAACTTAGCCTTCCTAACTAGCGCCGTCATTATACTGCCTTTTGTTCAATTTTAGTGTCACTTTATGAGAATATTTAGTATGAATAAACTTATTGAGAATTAGGATTTGTGTAACCTGAAAAACATGCACAGGAAGTGTGAAGTTGTTTTTTTTTTTTTTTTTCTCCCAGCCCTGAGTACTGTCTACATGTCTTCCTTTCAGGCTGCATGAGCCTCAAAAACCTCCACCAATAAGTTAGGGCAGACGGTATACAATCTGAGAGGCAAAAAATGCAGGCACTGCTCATGTGACAATGTGATCACTAATGTTGACTGAGATGAAACATCTCTCCTCTGGATTTTGGCAGCTGGGCAGTCAGAAGAAACTGCTGGAGAGATTTTAGTAAATTAAACTGTTCTAAAACACCGGTTAAAAAAAAACATGTTTGTAATAAAATGGAAATCACACCCTGGAGTTCATGTATCCCCTCATGTGTTGTATTCAATATTTTTGTGACACCAAATTAAGTATCATTCATACAATTATAGGACTTTATAGGATATTCTTTTTTTCTCCAGCTTTTCAGTTTGTTTTTTTTCATTGCCTGGTTTGTGCAGTTGGATAAATGCAGAAGTGATGGTCTGATGGTCAGTTTTTCGGCATATTTGTAATTCACACGACTGTCTCCTTTTGTATGTTCCTGTTTCTAATGTTGTAATGCCTTGCTCTTACTATTGTGTAAGTATATTCCTGGTGGTTATGCTCTGAAATGTATTTCTGGTTAACCTTGTATGTGTTTTGGGTGGTTTCATGCTGCTGTTAGTATGTCAGCCTTGGTGATCTCATTTGCCACATTAACCAGCATAAGATCAGAGTTCAGGGCAGACTACTTTTGTTGGTCAAAGCTACTTTTATTTCAGTACTTTATTTTGTCATTGTTCAGCATGGTTGTACCCCTCCACTTCCACTGAAACTGAGATTTACCCCCCGGCTAGCTTATATTAACTGTATTTGTCATCTGCTTGCTTACAGCTGTGATAGCTACCAGCACCCACACCACAGTGGTCACCACCATTCCTCAGCAGTACCCGCAGCAGCCAACCGCAACACCTGGGCAGCCTCAGTCCTACCAGGGGGGCCAGTATCAAATCTACCACCCAGTACCAGTGCAGCCGGGCTACGGCGCTCAGCCAGGGCCCCAGGGCTACGGAGCTCAGCCAGGGCCCCAGGGCTACGGAGCTCAGCCAGGGCCCCAGGGCTACGGAGCTCAGCCAATGCCAACACCACCCTACCATGGACAAGCAATCGCAGCAGGACCGCCACCCACATATCAGGAAGCCAGTGAGTGTGAACTTTATAAAACTTAGCCAAATAATGACATGTCTAATTGTGATTCCTGCCTGTTGTCATATCAAAGACAAATTCAAAAAGTCAACAAAAACAATCATGAATATATATTTGTATAAAATGATGAACTGGATTGGACTAAAACTAACGAAAATCAAATCACTAAAATGTGACTCTTACTAATAAACATTTTTGTCAAAAAAGTGAACACTGTACTTTTGAGGACCAGCTCACCTTTAACGCTAACCACACTTTTACACATGTACACTTACAAAGCTCATTTTTCTATTTCTGACAAATACAGCAGAGTTTAAATTTGTGTTCTCATTCTTTAGATTAGTTGAATCTAAATACAAATCTAGATAAACGCAAGCTCTTCATTTCCCAACTGATGTTGGAACATTAGCACATTTGTTTTCGTTTGTATAATAGTTGTTTGTACTTTACACTGATTTTAAGAGGGGTGAGTTTCTCAAATGGATCTGAAGGGAATGGAATGAAGATGACTTCTTTTTTTTTTTAGTTTTTTTTTTATAACCTTCAACATGGGATAATGACACATTGCAGCTTTAAAAATAACACATTATGCAATTTTGGTGCTTCAGAATAGCTGCAGTCGGAAGTGGAGGTGGAATAACCGCGGCTGCTGTAAAGTTGGCTCATGTCTGTATTTTGTAAAATAGGAAATTAAATATTTATGTTGACTTTGTTGTTGGACGGAGCTGAAGTTGTGGTTACTGTAAAAGCATTTTCAGCCCTTTCATCATCATGCCCTGTTTTCTTTCTGTCTGCAGCCGGTCCAGGCTTCCCTCCCCAGCCGATGCACTATAGCCAGGCTGCGTTCAGCCCCGGCCAGCCAGCGTACCCTCTGCAGCCTCCTGTCCAGCCGCAGCCCAAAGCTCCGAACCCAAACTACCTGGCCCAGCCAGCCTACAACCCGGATTATACTGGATAATAAACCACGGTGCTATGCTCTTAGCCACTCTAAAATATGCTGCAACATTTTCGAACTTGGCAGAACTGAAGATGTGTCATTTGTAATTTTGGTGGTTGAATATGGAAATGTTATGACACATTAATAGTTGTTGTAGTGCATCTGTTCTGTCGAAGAGTTGCCAAGTGAAAATGTTG